ATTCAAACTCGCAGTTATCGTTCAAAAGATAATGATGGTGCGAAATATATCTGGGTTTTTAAAGAAAATGCTTTGTCACAGAATAATAGTCTGTTAAAGGTACCAAGTATGAAATAATTTGGGGACAAAAAAACAAACCTGCATAGAAATCGGAATAATAGGTCTTTTGATTATCGGAGACGCATTTCAATGGACTTGATTACGGACAATGCATGACGTAAATTTCACCAGGAAATTCCGCAGTGTGCTCTCGCAATCGCGGACTTAGTCATTTTTACAAGGTTCGCCATTTTTGATGTCACGTGATAATTATGTAAACAATGTCTGTCCAGTTTGTGCGAACTTGCACCTCTATACTTAGTCTTTTGATATATATAACCTAAATCACTGTTCTGAACGAGACCACAGACAGAGAATGTTTTATTTAAAAACGTCACAAAACCTTCTCGCTACCTTAAGTATTACTGTGACCACAAGAATAGAATGGCAATATTGCAGTATGACGCACTGTTTTGCAAACAAAAAAAATACAAAAAAACAAAAAAAAACTAAGTGTTGTCACAGGAGACAATGGCTATATTGTGAGCAATATGGCTATATCATTAGCAAAACAGTGTTGCATATTCCAATATTGCCATTCCATTCTTTCTTGTAGTCACAATAATGTGAAATGAAAGTGAATGATTTACTGTAAAATACTTTATTTTAGTTAGATTAATTTTCGCTGAAAAGAATTTTTGGGTGTTTTGTATGGAATTAATTTTCACTGATTTTTGACAAGTTGAATGTAAAATGTAGAAAAAAAGGTATAGTCGCTAGATTTTATTTTCACTTCAGTGAAAATAACAAAAATAAAGTATTTTACGGTTAGTTGTCAAGATTTAATTATTTTGTGACATGTTTAAACACTATAATGATAACCTGTTATTCAATATCAATCTGATAATAATCAGATGCAAGTATTTGTCAACCAATCAGAAAGAGACTTGTGTGTAGTTGGTAACATTGGTTCTATTTGGTCAAAAGAATTGTCATTCATAGATTGAGGTAACCAAAGTGTAGACATCAATAACTAGAAATATATTTAATATCTTTCTGTGCTTAATAAACATTCATATTTGGGGGAGGCTCTATCAGAAATAACTTGTTGTTTTAATAATATAGCATTTATTATCTAGTAGCAACTATGGTTGGTTTCTATGTATTTTTTCCTCATGTATTTATATGCTAATTTATGCTAATGAATTCAAACTGGATTTTTCTGGTTTCTCTGTATCAGATTTATCTTTTTGTTTTTGTTTACAGGATCTGGCAACATTTGATTGAGTTGACAAAATCTGGTAATGTGACAATAATTATAACTACCCATTACATCGAGGAGGCAAGACAAGCTGATATTGTAGGACTTATGAGAAATGGACATATATTGGCCGAATCACCTCCTCAACAACTAATCAGCCATCATAATCTGGAGGTACGTGTAGTACCGGTAATCAGTGTGATAACATCAGTTATGCAATTTTAAATTCAGTGAAAGACTAATTTTTTCAAACTTTTAGAGTCAGAGAAATCTTTAAATATGACACTTTACAGCCGTTCTGAGAATTATTCAGACAGGCAACTGAATATATCAAGCAATATATCTTGGAACTTTGAAATTGTTCTTTTCCAATCCAATCTAGACTTGATGGCATTGTTGTATTGACACACCCACAATTGGGATCATTCAATTATCTTGCTAGATGCGGGTAAAACTCTGTTTTCAAAACGACATGCGTTGGTTACCATACATTAACAGGTTATATGTTGTATATGCATTCATATGCATATGTTTTATTTTAAATTGGTATAACTGTCTGAGTCCACCTGATATAGCGTAATTTACAAAACAACTCCCGAGTGTTGAGTAACCCCAGGTATTAATGAACTCGTCGTTGGCGGAAAGGCTCAAAATAAATAAAAGTTTCTTAGCATTGGACAGTTTTGGTCCAAACTAAAAGTTGTTTTACATTACTGGTGCATTATGTATCAAATTCAGATTTTTTACTGAGGTGTGAGAGTACGTTAAGGATACACGGACGGAAAACTTGATTATAAGGGTTTGATGGACTTTGTCAAATCAAAAGTGCCTTCCTTGAGCAAATCACTTTTTCCACTGCAGTTTGAAAATAACAGGGTATGACGACGGTTATTATGCCTAGTCCATTTTTGTAACAGGTACAACTGACTAAAATGAGCGACAAATTTAAGCAACACCCAATTTGTGATTTTTAAAATTACTGAATATATGTACAATATAAATATAAAAAAATAAAGAATGGTTGCTGTAAACGCACACTAGATAATACTTGCAATTCACCAAGCCGACAACCCCTATGAAATAGTAATCCCAAACCACGCGCCCGTCAATCAAGTGGCGCCGACAAGTCTAGATTGGGCAAAGACCAAAGTGTTTTGCAAAGTTGCAAGTCATTTTGCTAACTGACTGTCTGAATAATTCTCAGAACAGCTGTAAGTGTTAAAGATGTTTGTCTTTGATAACATGTTATTAGTATGCAACCACACTAATGTCTTTTTGACAAGTCATGATAACAGGTAAAAGGAAAACATTTTATCAAAAATACCGTCTGGAATACATACCAGATAAGTGTTAAATGCCAGACTGGCCATTTTTTTCACTCCTTTCACGAACATTAATAAAAGAAATAGTCTTTCCAATCATAATAATCTAATCAGATATTTTTTTAGACATTAGAAGCTGTGTTTTTAAAGCTTTGTCAGCAAGATTACAAAGTCAATGAAGACGATGGTGTTGACAGTTCCGTAAGTAATGACAATTCTATAAAAGAAAGTATTTGAACACATATTTAAGTTGTAATTATTCTATCCCACAGTGCTTAAAAACTTGCACAATCGATAATTAATTCATTTACTTTCAAAAGTTTCATTCGATTTCAAAATGACACATACCGGTATATACACATGTATAACTTTATGACATCCACACTTATAATATTTCAATGTAATATAATTTAATTTTTGTTTATAACTAATGGTATTTTATGGCTTATAATATAATGTAATACAGCAGATTTGTATTCAACAACCCAGGTCTTATAAGGGACGACGTCAAAAGATCGATGTCGGATAAAAAACTTAATTCTTTTAGTTTTTTCCCCAAACCCCCCACCCCCCACTGAAACTTAATTGATAAATATTGATCATGGTGTCAGACTACATTAACCATTAAATACAAATTGATAATCGGACAGTAGTATGGCATAGCAGTTGGTTGTAATAATGAAGCGGAGTATACACATGCGCAAACTACTTTTCAGGGTTCTGCGCATGCTCTAGGTCCATGACCTGAAATTGACCTCATTTGACTCACATATTTACACTCGGACCAAACCATTTTCTCGTCTTGGATGTTTTGTTTTTTTCATTTTCTGTTATTTTTGTCTATGATTGGATAGAAAAAAATCGAACTACAAATACTCCAAGTTTTTTTTGACTTCATTAAAAAACAAAATCGTTTTTGTAGGATGGAAACTTTTTGAGGTGAAACCCCCCGCCCCCCACCGCCAAACTAAAGCAAATAAGTTATTTATCCGACATCAATCTTTTGACGTCGTCCCTAAAGAAGTGTCTGTCTATTTTGCAGTTGTTATTCACATATTTGAATATTTTCCATGATTGTATTGTTTATTTATGCTATATTATTATGCTTTAAAGCTAGAACCAGTTTCTGTGACTTACAAGAAAATGAAGCCTTTACATAGAGATTATGAAGATCCTGATGAAAACACAGCTCTCCTAGGACATAGAGATTCTGTCAAAGTAAAATCAAAATCAGGTACTCAAATTTGATTTTCTTCAATTAGCATTTGTTAGAATCAATGAAAAATTGTGTACTAATATTTCACAATTTAAAACTAGCTGTACATTCACACTTATGGTGGCAAATTTCTCAACCTAGTATGTGTCATCGTCTCCCCAAAAAGTTGGAAAATGTCATTAAAATCCTTGTTCACATGTTTTGTTTTTTTGACCCCCTAGGTTGTTGTCAGAAATTCAATGCCTACTGCCCAAGTATATGGAATGTATTAGCTATTTTCATTAAAGACTTGATTAGATTCAAAAGACGACCAGGGTAAGTGGGCTTTATTACAAAATATATATCTGGCTATAGTACATACTACTAAAGCATATTACTACATTGAGGCTAGCCTCAGGTGTACTATGTACTAGCCACTTATATCTGTTGAAAAATAGCTGGTTATTAACAGTGTTGAAAAATAGCTGGTTATCAAAACTACATGATCTGAAAAAAAAACATACAACAAAACCTGTTGATATACAAATAACAAAACAACACTGTCAA